TTTGTGACAAAAAAACACAGTTCAGAGGGATGCCTTAAAATGAGAAGGGAAATTTACTATGCGCTTTTCCTGTGGACTCCTGCCTATTCACCCTTTATATTTTTGACCATAAATCTGCAGGCTATTGAATTACTATGTGTCCTGGTAGAACCATTCTCTGCGGTGGTAAACAACTCTATAGGCAAACGAAAAGTCCGGTAGAACGTTTGTGAACTTTGTTGCTGAGTGGGAATAGGGAGGAAAGGACCTACAAGAACAGTTAAAGCAAAATAATATTCGATTGGCATTGGCGAGTTTTGATTATTTATCCAGTGCTACGGTCAATGTTTGATCATGGCGGCTTTAGAACGTTGTCAAAATCTTGCAAAGAAAGGAGGTGACTTACTAGTCATGTAAAACTAGCGCAGTTTTCATAGCTTTGCGTCAATGTACTAATGTGCTCTGTGGCCCTTTCTCAGCATAGATAGCACAGCTCGTGATCGTAGGAAGGCTAGCCTGGTTATGATCACGCATCCTTGTAGACGAATGCTTGCTCATTTGAACAATATAACCTGCCCTACCGTAATAATGATAGCTGGAGAGCTGACTGGAACGGCGTCCCCTTAGCTGACATGCTAGTGGCGCAAGGGAAAATAATCATAACTTAAACCGTACACAGTCGTTGAAGTAAATCAATTGCTCAACTGTTGGCTTTTTGTAGAAGTAGAAACTAGAGAGCGCTGCATTTTTTCGATCGTATGCATTTGGGTCACAAATTAAAGGACGGTCAAATGTGGAATTCCAGCAGACGGTCTCCATTGTTACTTGAAGGCTCATGTGTGTGAGACTGGATGCAATTCATGATAGCACTTCTATGCTAAGTGCAGTAAACGGTACTGTGTAACTATTCTGCAGAGGTAGGGAGTCTGCTGCCTGAGAACTTTATATTAAAAAAACTCTATATCCATCAACGAATGTCAATATTCCCGAGCTAAACCGAAAAGATAACGAGCTCGTGGCGCAGTAGGCTAGAGCGTTGAACTTCTAGCCAACAGGTCACGGGTTCGATCCTTGGGCGCGCACCACTTGAGACTGGGTATGACTGGCTGATGACAGCTAATGAGCCAGAAATGACCATCCCCGTCTTTCTTGTCTTTGTCGGCAATGTTTATCTGATTGTAGGACAGTTGTATAGGATTCTGAATATCCTGAATACCCTTAGCAGCATGTTAAACTCGTTAGAACTTTAGCTACTGTCTCTATTAAAAGAAGGGTCGAGGTGGAAAGCCAACAGGGCTGTCCGACTCTTTTGTTCAACACCCTCTGCCTCAAGTTCACGTAACTTCTGCCTCCAACTCACTGACCCGCAGACTCTTAACCGACTTCCACTCGCACACACACGCGCATTCAGATAGTCGCGGCTACCCAAGGGCCACTTGAACACGCCACCCCGGCCGATGCTGCATGGACCATGATGGACGAGTTTTGGTGTACGACAGAAACTACTCTTCATTTAACCGATAGATATGTGCGTTTTTGCTAGGAGTAAGTAATAACAAGTATAACGGGTTTTTAATGCCAGGACGATGTGGAAAGGGGGGTTCAACCTCGAGCACTCTGTCAATTAGGCAGCGGTAGACTTGTATCAAAAACGTGGCAAGCATTTTTACCTCTGGGTTCGATGACTGGACTCCAAGTTGGTTCATTTACATGGTTCAATTCGTCTTGAAAAAAAGAGATTTTAAAGGTTTGCCTGGTTCATCTGCTTTTTGTGTTTTACTCTGGCCACCTAATTGGTTAGTCTAAGGTAGACCTGTTAGAGATCCACTAAAAAAGTTGTTTTTAGTTGACCTTCCTGTTATTGTGAAACCCCGAGA